AGTAGCAGACATTGATCTTAAGTTAATTCAAGGTTTGAGTTCTCAAACCTTGTCAGTGCAGATATTTGCTTTAATAGGAAGGCCATCAAATAGTGTAAGATCTTTTGTTAACCCTTTGTGTTGATGATAATTCGAAGGTTTAGAAAATTTGTCGGGTTGGGGGGGGGGGGGTATGCAATGAGTTTGATAATGGATATTTGCATTCTAATCTAATATTATAAGTTATTAATCACTATAAATGAAGATGATGAAGTCATATTCACTTTTAAAGGACTTGTACTATATGTATGTAGAATTATAACTCAATTATGAAAACTTGGCGTATAAATGTTTATGCTCTATAGTGGAAAACTAGAAATCATAACCATAGTGAAAGTGTGCAAAAATGACATCTTAGGGAGGAAGGAATCCACGAAGGTTTGTGCAGTGGGTTGTGTAACATCCTATTTTGAGAAGTCCTTATTTAGGGATTGTAGACTAAAAAAAAGATCAAGTAAAGGCCTTAGGCTTCAAGGGAATAGGGTTTAGACCCTATTGGATAATGATAATGTTGGTTAAGTGATTAAAGCCTTTAATTTGTGCTTGGAAGAAAAAGGGGTAAAATGGGAAAAGTAATATTCCAGACTTCTTGCATAGATTATGGTTTTAGTTCAATATGTATTAAGTCAACAGTAATTAGATAAGTGTAACGCGCCGACTCTTAGGTGATAATTTTATGGCTTTAATTTTTATAATTTCAAGGTCTACTCGACAAGTTGGATACCCTGACTTGTCGAGTAGAAGTGGATTGGGCCACGTGTTTAAGTGACCTACTCGCCGAGTCCAAGATAGGACTCGATGAGTAGGAGTTGGAAGATGAAACCCTAATTTCTAAGGTTTTGCACCCTATTAAAAGGACTATTAGCCTCTTTTAGCCCCTTTACAGCCTCTTAGGAGTCAAGTAAACCCTAATCAGTATGTGTGCTCCATCCTTGTGTGTTTTAAGCTTTGGAAGGTGGATCTTAGTGAGAAGATCTTGGAGAGCAAGTGGCTAAAATCAAGGAACGTGTGGGGATCTGATATCTACCTCAGTTATCATCTCTTGGAAGGTATCAAGTCATCACCTTGACCTCATTTCCTTCTAGATCTCATTTGGTTAAAGATTAGGGCTTTTCTAGCATATTAAGAAGCTATTCTTGGGTATGAGCTAAGATCTGAAGTTGTAACTTCAGATCTGAACTCTCTTTGGTCTCTAAGTCCATAAAGCTTTCATCTTTAGCAAGTATGAACCTTTCCTTAAGTGTAAAACTCCATTACAAGCTTGGTTTCGGCATTATAAGTCTTTAGAGCCTTGTATGCATGTAAAGTTTGCAAGTTTACGTGATAAACATGACTTGGGAAGCTGGATCTACAATATGGAACCTTATAATGGCTTAATAAGCATCTGAATGGATAATGGACTGAAGGGACTCGGCGAGTTGCATGGTCAACTAGGCGAGTCCGATGAAGATTGTCGTGCATGGACTTCTTCATGGAGTCGGCGAGTCAACTGGTGTTTTCCCGAATTTTAGACACGTATAGGCTCAACGAGTTACTGGGAAAACTCGACGAGTCAGTGGGGGGTTTCATGACTACTCGAGTTCTGGAAGGACTCAACGAGTCAGTGACTACACTCGACAAGTCGGGTCAACATGGATTGTTGACCTTGACCGTTGACTTTGACTTTGACCAAGGATTGACTAACTGACTTCTGGGGCATTTTGGGAAATTGGAAATTTACAAGTATAGTTCTATGGTGAATATAGGTAGTGGAGTTTGTGGCAGTGATCCGACAGTTTGAGCTTATCTTTTGAGTCGACGGTTGCGAGGTGAGTTATCCTCACTATAATAAGGGGGCCTAGGCACCAAGGTCGGCCCATTGGATATGATATCCTAGCAGTTTGTAGTATGTTGAGTATGAGTTAGTGTTGCATGTTAGTTAATATGCCAGTTAGGTAGATCTGTAGGACTACCTGTAGTGTTATGTGATTATATGTATGCGAATTAGTTGTGTTATATGCCAACATATTATGTGGCATGGGTTAAGGCGATACTGCTCCGTGCGGTAACCAATAAACCTGGGAGCATTCCAGGTACGAGCTGAGGGATACTCATATTATGGGCTCGATGGCAATCCAGATGTAAGATGTGGGCCCGGAAGGCAATCCAGACTCAAACTGTGGGCCCAGGGGTAATCCAGTCTGTAAAGTAATGGACCAATACATGTTGTTATTTATATGTGTATTATATGCAGAGTAGGGTGTTTTGGGGGTACTCGCTAAGCTTTCGTGCTGACAATTTTTAGTTTATTGTTTCAGGTACATCAGGGGATCACGGCAAGGCAAAGGCATGATCGTACAACTCCTCATGTTTTGTTTATGTATCTAGGAAAACTCTGATATTATACATTTTGGAAAACAAGTTTGTAATGATTTATTGGTTTAAACCTTTTTTAAAAGTTCAAATTTGGCTAGATTTTATGGGTGTTACATAAGGTTGTGGGGCTCATCAATACCTTTCCATACATATAAAGATCGTTACAAATGAAGTTAAAACAAAGAAGTATGATTGTTTGAAGTTGGAATGGAATTTGGTGAAAACCCATTCTCATAAGGTGAGAAGTATATTCTCATGACGTGTGAACTGTAAAGCCTAAGACCATGACTTTTTAGGGTTTTCAAGGTATTTAAAGGTAAGGATTCATGTTTTATGGTATTTTCTTAGTCTCCATCATATCTAGAACCCCTTGGGAGAAACACTAGCCTTAATTTTCAAATATTTGAGCCTCCCCTCTCATCTCTCATCTATTTTTGGAGTTTTTGGTGGTTTTGGAGCAATGTTTCCATGCAAGATTGATCCTTGAAGCTTGGCAATTGAAGATCTCAACTTTCATTTACCTTCTAGACATTTTTAAGTTATAAAGTTCCAATATTTATTACATTTCTTGTTAGATCTAAGTGTATTTGGTGTTTTGTTCTATTTTAATGAGTTTTGAGTGAGAGTTGAGAATAAAGTTCGCGTCTTTACTACTCTCCTAGGTCCCAAGAACATTGTATGTTTTAGATCTGGACTCCAACACCTTTTGATCAGTTTAGAATGTTTTCTTGGACCTCATGGACCAGGAAAGTTTTGATCTTTTACCTTCCCTTTTATCCATGCAAGTTATCTTGGTCATTTAGGTCATTTTGGTGTATGAAAGTTTAGATCTTGAAAGTTTGAGACATTATTATGGATAAAGTTGGAAACTTTATCCATCTATACATCATGTTGATTCGGATCTAAAGGTTAGAGACTTGGAATTAATGGATTAAGCTAAGAAAGATGCATTACTAGTTCCTTCAAGACTCAAAGACTATATATTGGTTGTTTGGACCATCCTAATAGATCAAGTTGGAACTTTATCCATTATTAAGCTATTTAGGAACCATATTTGAGGTTATGTGTCACATTTGGAACTTGAGGTACATTTTAATTTATAAAATTTTGACTTTTAAAGGTCGAGACAACATGGTGAAGGATCACCATGATGTGGCAAGTCAATTTTGAGCCGCAAGTTGATTTGACCCGCCACATCGTAGTAGGTATAGGCCATAACATGGCCGCAACTAATGGCTAAACCCTACTTTTCTGGCCTTTGCGCTCTATTTAAAGGAATGAGAAGGCTAGGGTTTTCTCACCCTCACCATCCATTAGCCTCCTGAAATTTTGAAGAAACCCTAATCTCATTCATCCATTATTGAAGCCATTTTTGTGTTCTTGGAAGCCTTTTGAAGGAAGAGGGAAGAAGAAGTGACCAATATTCAACAAACAAGTCTTCATTCTCATCCTAACACACTTCTGGACCTTTGTAAGTGTCCAAGACTCAATTTTTTATCATGGCAAGTTGCTAGATCTTGAGTTTTGTCCCTCAATCTTCATATTCTAGTTTGTTGCACTACTAGAAAAACAGTCTTTTACGATGCTCATTGCGCGTCATAAAACACTCAAACGACGCGCAAATGCACGTCAAGGAAGGCCATGTCATAACAAGAGACGACACACTTTTGCGCGTCCTCTATAGACGACACGCATTTATGACACGCAATGCGTGTCATTAAAACCCCTGTCAAGAAAGGTCATGTCATAAATGAAGATGACACACATTTTTGCATATCGTAAATTTAAATGTTTAAAAATGTATTTATTAATTTTTAAATTAAATTTGCATTTCATGTCTCATAATAGAAATAAAATACCATATACAAAAAAATACAATCCATTGCATAATATAAAATAAAATGTCATACACAAAAAATAAAATAAATTGCACAAATTATAATATATCATACAAATGCTAAAAAAAATAATACATTGCTAACATGGGTTACATTCCTATAAAACTAAAAAATAATCATCCAACTCTGTTGTTTCTTACTAGAATACGTGTGTAATTGTTTCCTTCATCAGCCTCCCTGTCCAAAGTCGGATCTACCTTCCTAATCTGTATATATAACAAAGACACATAAATATATTGTGAATTTGTGATCTGATCTGAAATATGAATCTTGAATGTTGGTTGTACCTTGTGCTTAATTTTAGTAGCCAAAATAGCATCTTGCGTTAAGAAAACTGCTAGACCGTAATTTTTAGAAATGTAATTCTTTAAAAGTAAAAAGCTGAAACTACCAGACCATAAAAGAAATGTATATGTGTTTCAATATATACTACAGGGGCAGAATAGTCTTTTTGTCTGTTATTATCCTTGTCCCAATCCCTAAAAGTCATGAAATATATTAACTAAACTAAAGGACCATCTTACCCTTACTTTCCATAAGCTCATCTAAGGTCATATAAGTAGGCATATAAACAAAGTTGACTTTTTTTCATCAAGAAAGATATGACCATCAACAACAGACAGTTAAGTATTAAGTCCCTGTTTGGTTTTTTTTTACCTGATTTGTACAGCATGTCCGTGCAACACCTCCACCTCCACCTACAGCCACCTACATACTAGAAGGTGATGTGGTATCAGCAGGAGCACCAGTTATTTTCTTAGCTTCAGAAAGAACCTGAAACAAAAAGCTTATGTTCCATATTAATACTAAAAGAAAAAAAGGCTTTGATTATTTGAAGGGAAAACGCATACCTCAACATCTTTAGCTTCATATGCTTTCTTACAGTCATGCAATGAGGAGTCCCTATACGCCTGGTGAAAGTTCAAACACATAGAGCAAAACGATAAATGAATTGCATGGGTTTATAAGCATCTGATATGACAAAACACAAAAGATTAGATATGAACAATTATGTTAGGATTTAGAAATCCCAAGTTATGATTCATTTGAATCATTTGAATTGATGAATCTGGAGAAAACACATTGTACTTAGTACCAAAGAACATAATGTAAGCAATTCAATATGTAATAATTTTAGTGTCACCCAATGCAAAAGACCTGACCATTGCTCAGGATAATCAACATGTATGATTGTCTTGAGACACTCACCCAACTGTTCCCTGTAAAGTGTAAAAAGAATATGATGATTTGTTGACAAAGAACAAAAGAAGCAATATCTAAAGTAATTGTCTTTACCTCAACAATGTAGGGACTTGTTCTACAAAAACAAGGATGTTCTGCCTCACCAAATCCTTATCACTTGGCAAAATCTTGGATCGTTCATCTACGTTATCAAAGAATGTATTAAAGGATATTTAGAAGTTCGTAGGCCTTCAAGCTAAATTTTCTCCAAAACAGGAGGCATTAAGTTGTATGGATGCAGTTCAGTAGGATCAAATTAAAGTTTATTAGAGAAAACATTTACCTGGATCATGAGGTGACCTGTTTTCTGCTATGAAGTTCTTAAAATGAATGCTTGCAACCTGCCTCACTGCCAAATCACAAGTTCCATCTACTATTATCTGTAGCAGCCTCACCAAATGCTGAGGAGTATACTAATACTGAAAAGGAAAATTATTTCCAAATTAACATAGTAAACTCGCACAAAACAAACAGAAAACTAAAATTACATGACTCCTTCACTATAACAAACTGTTCAATTCATCGTGACAGTAAGATTCCATCCTCAAACACAAAAGTCATGATATTTGGCCAAAAATCGAGTTGGTAAACATAATTGAGATTCACAGATAAGTAACACAATGAAATAGAGTACATCACTACAGAATCAAAACTAACGAAACAACGAACATTTGTATGCAAGAGAAAGGGAGTAGATGAACTTATTATTACATACTGTACCAAGACAAGAGTTCTAGAGAAGAGAACAAACTTGAGAATCATGCTGATTGAAGCCACTAAATTGAGGAGCAAAATGAGCAAGCTTGGACTTCAATGTTCGTGGTGGTACTGATTGAAGCCACCTGCTTTTCACGAAGCTCTATTGACCTGAAAAGGAAATCAAGAGAAGAAAAAAAATCCAGAATATAAAGAACTTACAGTAAGCAGAAAACAGAGAAAAAATCGGTGATGTGCAGATCTTTTGCCTTTTCTTCAACGTCACTGTGCAACAGATCTTGGGGTAGGTTCTTGACACCGATACACAACGATTGACCTTAGAGAGTCGTAGATTGCGTCTTCCTCCAAATTGCGTCTTCCCCTTATATTGAATATGCGAACACCGATGGCTTAGCTCAACCCTAGATTTCCAGTTTCGTTTTACTCCACCGACTTCTTGTGTCTACTGAAGAACCCTACAACTTGGAAGTTACTGGTAGAGTTATTATTTCATATGATTACGTATATTATTTATATTCCAAAATTGATTTGGACCGAGACGCAATTTAGAGGAGAAGTTTCCCAGATCAATTATCGGTAGATTGAAGCCATTGACCTTAGAGAACGGTTGTTCAACCGTGATAATCAGCTTAGGTTTTGAATCTCTTATTTGGTGGGAGAGTATAGGGGATTAGCGGTGGTGGCGATGGCGCCAATGGATGTAACGGTGAGAAAGGCAAGGCTACAGGGAACAGGATGGATTTTAGGTTAGAGAGAGAGAAAGGAAGACGAAGTCCCTAGGCTTCTTTCTTGCTGATTGGAAAGGGGGTGGGTGGGTTTAATTTTTCACATAGACGGGGTATTAATTTTTGGGGATTTCATTTCCCGCTCAAAACGCGTATTTCATTAAAAAATATAAAGCGATACGCTTACATGACACCCATTTTATAATAGGCGTCCTCCGTATTTCTTTTTTTTTCTTTTCTGACACTAATTTCAGGGCACGCACAAATGCATGTCCACTATCCTTCATATTTTATAAGAGATGACATTATTTTTTGGTCGCACGCTTTTGCGTATCGTAAATCACTGTGTGTCATCGTTTGTGCGTCATTAAAGGCTGTTTTTCTAGTAGTGATTGTAGCGGTGAGATCTCATTAAGTTTCCAACTTTATGAATATATAGATCATTTGGTATGAATATGGTTTTGGATCTGATGTGTAGTTAAGTTTTTGAGCCATGCATGTGATTTTTATAATAATAATAATAATAATAATAATAATAATAATAATAATAATAATAATACCTTATTTTGACTCTTTATGGATTCTAGACATGCATTGGGCATGCATGTCCATAAATCACTGACTTTTACGATGATTTTGGCATTAGAAAGCCTTCTTGATTAAATGAGCTAAGGACTTTCTGGAATAAGTGCTTAATGGGTGAATCCATGTCTTATTTAGTCTTTTTGGAACCTAGGGTTTGATATTTTAACCTTTGGGGTGGTATTAATGGATGAAGTTGGAAACTTTATCCTTCTGGGCCATTTTTGGACTAGATCTGAGCTTTGGAGATCTGGGAATCGAAGAAAATGGCTTAACCCATTAAGTTATTAGAAACCTAGTGCCCTCAGCATGGCATTAGGCCACCATGGCATGGCAACTGGGAAAATCACAACTATCTTTATGAGGACCACACCATGGCCATAGATGGCTAGGACGTGGCAGTTGACTAAAGTCAACATTTAATGTTGAATTTAATTGTTGACTTTTGGTCAAATCCTAGTTTTGGAATAAGAGTTAACGGTTTTATATGGTATGTATAAGTGATACGTAGCAGGAGTGTTCTAAAAGTGAGAGCAGTAGCAGTTAAGCCTTGTCTGAGAGGTGAGTCTTCTCATCGTACTCGTAACATCCAAAATTTCGTAAGTTACCTTTTGGTCCCTTTTATAAAAATCGATTGCATATTAGTCCCTTGGTTACTACATTGGGCGTACTCATTGAGTACACTTAGCGTACTAATCACTGCATGATCGTGGATCATTAACCATGTACGCATGGCGTACATGGTGTACGCATGGCATACTCATGTATGAAGCAAACCCAAGTTTTTAGGGTTTGCATCCTATTTAAGGACCTTAAGTCCCCCAAGTCCCTTACCTTTTCAGCATCCACTATCCTTGAGGTTCAAATCTGTAACCCTAAGCCACCTTTGTGCATTCGTGAGCTTCTTGAGTGATTTTTGTTCTTTAGAGCTTTTGAAGAAGAAGGAAGATAGAGAAGAAGCAAGGATGTGGGAAGAGCGTGTAGATCCAGAAGTTTGGCACCATTTCTAACCCATTGAAGGTATAAAGCTTAAACCTTGACCATTACTTGCTTAGATCTAGTTTTGGGGTGGAAAATGTCATCTTTTGATCCTATAGTTTGGATTCTTAGAGTTACGGAACTTCATGCCATAAAAGTTGTCCTTTTGAGCTCTTAAAGGTGTGTTGAGTCATAAAAACCGGATCTTGATGGTTAAGCCTCAACCATGCAAGTGTTAGGGACCAACCAAATGTGTTTATGGACTTGATTCATGTTTTGAGCCCCAACCTTGCATGCAAAAGCATAAAGTTTGTAACTTTATGGATTAGGACGTTTCTAAGGGCCTGGATCTAAGTTTTGGACGTAAGGTCTTAAGGGATTAAGTCATGGAGCAAAGTTTAGATTGGCAGAACAGTACACCGTGCATACTCAAGTGTATGTTGAGCGTACTGGGTCAGCACCTCGACCTTGGTCAACACCAGCATACGCTCGGCTTACAAGCCAAGTATGTCGCGCGTTTGCTGTCTGTGGGCTTGGTGGATTTTGGGCTCTTTTGGTGTTGGGATTTGTACTTGAGAAAATTGGGCCTCGGGCCCACTGGAGTGTAGCAAGTCCTTTTGGGGCTTAAGGCCATGTTTGAGGTCCTTGGGCCATAATGAAATATAAATGCCCTATAAGGAAAAGGTAAAGGAGCCTTTTGATGGGTATTATGTAAAACATATAAATCATATGTGTGCGTGCAACCCTAAAACTTGATCTATGTTTTCTCTAATTGAACATACAACTTGAACAACAAAATAGAAACCCTAGAACACTATTATATAATCAAAAATTACAAATAGGGTTATAAGAATCATACATTGATTGCTATTTAGTACTAATAATGTAAATCCTTGTGTTGTTGGAGCCTTGACAGCAAACGCCACAAATGTCGCGCCTCTAATGTTTCACACCTAACACTAGCAATGGAAGATGATTGAGAGAGAGAGGAGGGAGGCTACAAAATTCAACTATCTATTTAAAAAGAATGAGTGGCCGAAAATTCTAGGGTTAAGGCTCTATTTATAGTGCAGTTAGGAAACCCTAGATAAGCCCTAATCCAATATTATCTTAGACCCGGTAATTATCCACTTTCATGTTTATCCACCAGGGATTATTCTAGAATCCCTTAGGCTTCAAGAAAATGTACAAGCCTAATAGAGGGTTCTAGATTGTCTCTAGCTCAACTATTTAGTCCCTATACTTTTAATTAATTCCTTTAATCTAAAATATTAATTCCAATTAATTTCTGATTAAATATTGATTAAATATTAATTAAATATTACAATTTCTAATTAATATATTATTCTCATAATATATCAACAGATTATTTATTTCAATTTATTAATCAAATAATAAACCAACCTCTCTCTCCAAAAACCATTTTGTCTAGTTGCTAGTCTTGAGGGCAACCCAAAAGGAGAGTGCTACTATCAATTTAAGTATATACCAATTATAGTTATGGGCTTAGACACCTAATCCAACAGTCTCCCACTTGGATAACTCTAATAACTGTAGTTGCTAGTATAACTTCTAAAACTGATTAGCAAAGTGTAGCTCTCAAAAGCCGTTGTCAAACTCTGACCCAGTCAGTTATGTGTCCTAAGATAAGTGATAAAACATTACTCCGTTATACAAGATATCGTACAGACATGAGACATGGATTGTAATCAATCTCATTGTCCAAGTTTTGTTTCCTAATTTCTATTATGACGACCTAAATCAGACTACCAATTGAACACATCAATTTAGTCTAGGCTTGGCCAAGCACTTCCAATGTCGACATCAAATCATCGAGGGGGCCAAAGATATCTCTTTTCCCGTTAGGGCAAAAGCAATGAATAAACTTTGACTTATATGATTGTACTATTACTCATCAAATAATGCACAACAATATGTTTTATAACATCAAGTTACTGATGCATTTACGTATTATCAATGCACAACTGACTTGTAAACAACTACTCATATATCTCTGTTTCAAGAATATAAGATATTATCGTCTCAAAACTACTCGTGATAAAATCCATGAATTAATTCTCTAAGCATGGGTTTATCTAATACTCAAAATCCTCATTTTCTAAGTACTCATGAACATTGCAGCAAAACTATTGTTATGTCTAATTTCCATAGACAATCTACAATCCAGTTCAGGAAATTCTTAATTCGCTACTTACTTCCAAAAGTGTGATTGATTGTGGAATTTCGAATAATCAAATTATTCAGGAAGTAAAACATGCAAAGTAAAACACAATAATCTAATTAATTATGGTCTCAAATCTATTGAATATAAATAAAACTCTTATTATTTAATCACCATATTAATTAGACTTTATTTATTGTACAATGTTTCGAGTAATCAACTAAACACTTGAATTAAATATCAGTCATGCCATGTTATAAACATGCATACAATGTCTCTTTATGGTCCTTCCTTTGTGAACAGATCGATTGGACACTATTCTAATGATGCTCATTTCACAACTACAAATTCTTGTCACTACTAAATGTGTAAGAATTCCAATCTTATGCACATCGATCTTCTGTGATGTCGAGGTTTCAAAGTCACGGAGAGTTAGCCAACGATATTACAGAATGTTCCATTCGAATAATTCCATGGTAATGAAGTCTCAAATTCAAGATATACTCATTTAACACCTTCCTTGCATTAAAGTTTCCAACTCACATGTAGATTTTATAATCAACTCTCAATATGGAAACATTTCCATATTCTCATATGACCATCAATTCTGATCAAGAATCATCTCAATCTAAAACATGTTACTATGGTCCTTCCAACTAATATTATATTTCCATCTGTCTACAAGCAACCAATCCTTTGGTATAATCTCAGAATTTTCCTGACAGTTGTTTAACAACTTTAGTCATACCAAGTTCTAATCCATTTTCCCTCTCAATGCCCTAGGCAGTTGGAAAAGTCAGAAAAAGTGAATATTCTAACATATGTAATCGATCCTATATCTGAAGCATATGGGACTCGATTCATAATGTCTTATGTAAAGATCTAACATTTGATCGGTCTCTTGCTAGAATATTTTCATATATCGAATTTGTTATGTTGAATCATCTCAACACGATATTCATATATGTCCATGACTAAGTTTTATTAAACTATGCAATCTAAACTTTTAGATTCGAAACGAAGTATGAGTGCCCTCTCCCTTGAAGTCTTACTATAGCGAAACAATTTCCAAATTTTGCAATACGAAAATCTATAGACTTTGTTTTCCTACAAATATTATTACCAACTTGCAACACATAGCATAAACTTATGCTCCTATTAGCATAACAATTATGCTCCCATTAGCTTGACATGTACCCAGAAATTAATTGGACTTCTAGAAATCAATACTCTTTGACTTTCATACTAAACTACTGATTTTTGATACGTTATGCTTCGATAAGTATTCAACTAGACTTCTCAAGCTTATGCACCTTCATTAGATAGCATGTGTGTGTATGTTCAAACCTTTTTCAGAACTTATGACCATATGTCCTGAAGGTTCAAACAACTCATTGCTATTTCTCGCAATTCAAACTATGAAAAGGGATGTTGTAATCATATTACGAATTTGAGAACACAATTAACACAACCACTAACCACAATGATATTTTTCAGATCTTTAAAAACTACTAGCGAAAGTGTTTCCTCATAATCATTTTCATGAATTAGAGAAAAATCTCTTCCTACCTAGATTTTATAGTGTACTTGTTCTTATCCACATGAGTCTATCATTTCCAACCTACAATCATAAGACAAGGTTTCTGACAAAACCACATTCAAATTTATCTTTCATGGATTGAACTTTGCTTATTCGTAATTTATTGTCGTCTGGTAGCACAAGGGCCTACCAATACTTCCATGTTGTTAAGCAGTTCACCCATATTGACCAATGTATTTTCACTGACCAACGTGCTCTGCCTTTTTGCGGTAAATGAAAACCATAGAACCCATAAGCATTCCTAAATCAACTAGAAGGTGCACAGAAACAAGAATGTGTCAACTTAACATGATAGATTATCAATCTCAGGTCGTATGCTAGCGATAACTAAAAGGTTCATAGTCGATTAACTCCTAAAACTTTTCAAGAACAATTAGACTCCCACTGACTTCTTGACATATAATTTTCTCTCTCAAGGAACATTCCTTGACGGTTTAAAACAAATATTCAAAAGTTAGTGTGGATTCCCAACAAGAAACACTTCCTTAAATTGGTCTTAGTTTATCCTTTTTTTTAACTAAAACATCACAACTTCCAATTCAAAATGTGCTAGAGTAAGAAAATATTATTACTCCACATTTCATGAGGTGTTATAAATCTATTTTGTACGAATTAAGTTTCAAGATACAATTTTTAGTAACTAGAGTATACCTCTAACA